TATATATATATATATATATATATATATATATATATATATGTATATATATATATATATATATATATATATATATACACATACATACATGTGTGTGTATGTGTGTGTGGTTTTCTATGTAAGAATCTAATTGTCCCCCCTAACTCTAAGACTGAGATATTTATAGTCGTATTGGGCCTGGATCCTATGTCTATTAGAAATCGTAACTGTCATTAAGAAGACGAGGGAGTGGATGGTTAATCCACAATTATTTCAGGAACATAGTCAAATGACTCCTTCAGTATAGTTACAAAATAGGGGCATGTCATTTCCCACCTCGGGAAACTCCTTTTGGAAGAAAGTGACATATTTTGTAAAGGAGTGCACATTTAGTAAACAGGCACATGAACTAGGAAATATGTGACCAGGAAGTCCTATAGGCGATATATCTCCAAGTGTGAGGAAACTACCTCACGTTTATGGCTAGTCCTTCATACACGAGTGAGTTCCTCATGTGTGGGGTAAGTCCCTCATGTATGGGGTAACTTCGAGACATGTCTCCAAGTATTAGTAATTTGATCTACACATCAGTTAAAGGAACTCGAAAGTCAATCAACTAAGAGAAATCAAACATCAACTGAAGAAAGTGTGTGTTGCATTAAATGAAATCGATGTGATTTTCCTTAGAAGTCCAAATTCTAGTTTTACCTATTATACGTGTTTTTGACGCGGGGAATCTTTCCCATTTCTTGTAACTCTTGAGGCACTCAGTTGGAGGCGGTAGGTGTTCTCAACAATTGGTCCTTCCACCTATATAAAAGGATTTTTATTTTCCCTCTTTAATTTTTTTTCGCACTCCCTTCATATAAACTTTCACTCATATAACTAAGGGTTCCTACAGGTGAATAATGCATTCTTTCAACAATTTATTGATTATGGTTGTAGGTATTACTATGTTATTTTCTTACTCCTTCTATTCTTAGCAGTAATTATTTGACTTTGGGTTGTTAGTAGGTACGCATTTAGAATTACAAGTTAGGCATCTAGGGACATGAGTGACCAGGTGATTTTGATAGTAACTTTATTTCTCTCTCTACTCTTATCTAAAATCAATGGCGAAGGCGTATGACAAACGTTCCAGCGTGCATGACTATGCGTCTCTATATTGTGACGAGGAAAAAATGGTTTCCTTATGGAGGAAAATTGGGCTTTCCAATACTGGACACGATAGAAGATGTCATATTGGAACCATGCTCTGAAAGAGAGAGGGCCAACATGGCCATCATGGAAGGCTCACCCACTCTATGCTTCTACTTGCGCCTCCTCATCATTCACAACTTAGGTGTTTTGATCCATTTTACATCATTTGAAGTCAAATTTATAGCGACTACCAATGTTATCCCTCTCAAAATTATGCCCAACATCAGGCGTATTATTAGGGTGTTTGAAATTATATGTTGACTGTTGGAGGTTTTCCATACCGTTAGGATGGTATTCCTTTCCTTTTATGGTATCAAACTTACCCCCAACGAGTGGAAAGGTGATCCTATTTTATATCCTAAAAAGAAGGCTATTAAAGTTGCATTCCAACCCCTGCATAAACTTAAAGGACAAGTTCATGAGGGTTATTGGGCGAGATTATGCTTCAATGGTCACGACTGGGGTGACAACGCCCCCTGTTTCCTATTGTCTTGGACGAGTGACCCCAAGATCATTATTAATTTTGATTTTGATGATCTTACTCTAAACGAGCAAGAGGTGGTTCAAGATTTGACTTAGTTTAAGTTTATGAGCTCTCCCACCTTGATCTCCCTGAACCTAAGGGATGATAGCGAGATAGATGAGTACTTGGGTGAGCTTATGGTTGGAAAAGATCTTTTTCCTAAGGTTGTTTTAAATTATTCCTCAACTCATATTTTTATATGATTTTCTTATAGAAAAATGTCTACAACTCCACTTGCTGAGAGGAATGAACGATTAGATGGGAAGAAAGACAAATGCCAATTGTTATTTAACCTCACAAGTTGCCCTGACGGGCGAATAACAGTGGAGGGAAAAAGGTGTGGTGAGGACCATCTAATAGGTTATGCTCTCCCCCTTAAAATCCAAAAACCAGGAGAATGTCCTTCACAAGATTCGAGGGACAAGCAACTAATGGTTACTGGAGACAATAGGGCTGAAGAGAAGCCTCATCCAGATAAGGATGATTCTTTCCCTCCTTCTTCCTTGTGGAAGGATGCCTCGTTCGATGCCATCAAGTTTACTGGGAGTCGCCTCCCCTTTCTCGAGGATTTTTCCTTTGATTGTAAAGGTATTCACAGTAAGTCATCCCTTGAGATGTCAAATATAACATAAATTCACCTATTAATGGATCCTCTGATAAAACGGGTACAGCGGGAGAAACATACTCAATTCGTTGATGACTTGAAGTCAAATCTTTCCACGACTCTGGGAATCATCACTCAACGTCAGGAATATAGTGAGTAACTTGATGAAGGAGAAAGAGGCGGTAAAGGCGCGAACACATGCCACCGTCGCCATGAGATTTAAGGGCTCTCTAGATGGGGCTCTTAGTTCACTTAAGAAACCTGATGAGGAACTGCTTGCATTTTAAGATGACCTGGTTAAGGTGTCTGACAAATACTTCGAGCAAGCACGAAGTAAATGTTACCTCTGTTACACAAGTAAGGTAATGAAAGGCGGAATGAAAAATTACCACTTTACCCCTCAGTTTCTAAATAACTGAGGGGTAAAGTGACAATTCTCATGGGTTCGATCCTCGATGAGATCCTTTAAGGAATTTTTAAATGGCAAAAAACATATCCCTGTGATTTTTGAAATATAACCGACGGATTAATTAAGTTTGAGTTCCTTATATATAAGGTGAATTGTTTGTATCATTTAGCCCTAACTGAACATATACCTTTTTAACTTGGTTTACAAAATAATTATATGAACAATTATATTTGAAGAAAAAATTATACTAATTAATGATTTTCGAATATTTTGCCACTCATCACTTATATCATGTTCTTTAAAAAATATTTTCTTAAATATTATTTTTGAAAATTAAAAAAAAATAATTTTTAACTAGCCAACACACGAAGTTTGAGGTGTGCTGTAAAGGTATTATTGTAAAATATGGTTGTGAAAATTTTATTTTGGTTGTGAGGTAAATTAATTGAAAAACTCTTGTTTAGTTGTTAAGGTAAACCAATTAAAATTTCTAATTTGTTGATAGGTTTCCGTAATTAAAACTCTTAGTCAGTTCGGGAGCTTAGCCTAGTGTTAAAAATTTTGAATTAGTTCACAATTGTTTTAATGGTAAAATTTCTTAGTTGACAGATTTCCATAGTCAAAACACTGTGTTTGTTTGGTTGGGAAGTTAGCTATTAAAAATCTCCAATCTCCAATTATATTATAAGGAGGTTTGTGAGAAAAATTCTAAAAATAAGCTCACATCATACTGAAAATTAACTCTCAAAAAGGAATTCTTCCGAAGATGATTAGGTCACTTCAATCTTTCAGTGGATAGAGTTGGTGATTATTGATGGTTGCTTTCTTTTGGAAACAAATTAATATTGTAACATTTTGTATTTTCCCCATATTGATATATTGCTTCAAAAGTATTGAAGATAACATTCTCGCTTGGAAATCTCAGCATGAGGTCAGCTGACTCCTATTAAATACTAGTACTTTCTATATGAGAATATCATACTGAAATGAAACTAGTTTGTTAGCTATTGTCAAAGTCATTTTAGTTTGTTTCATAACACCATATGAAAATGAAACTGGTTTGACAGATAGTATCAAAGTCATCTTGTAGTTCGATTTCACCTTTTATCTAAATTTTTGGATTCTGGAGAGTGGCGTCAGGTTGATTCTTGCTTCCAAATTACACAGAGTTCTATCAATTTTTGAGAAAAATGGGAGCTTCCTTAAAATAATTTTAAGTTGAAAGATGGAAAAACATAGTAAAAAGAATCAACAGCCAACAAAACACATAATATCTTAGCGAAAGACCCAGAAACGAAAATGAAATCAAATTCATAATTTTAAGCTTGACCAATGAAACAACGATCGAATGCATAGCTAAAAAATAAGAGCAATTTATCAGCTGAATCTAAGTTCAGAGAGCGGGTATGAGTCTTTTAATTTTTTTTAAAAAAATGTTTAAAACAACTTATACTATTTTTAAAAAAAATTCATAAAAATTAATTTTGAAAAAAGAAATCCCTTTTTTAACTAGCAAACACACTTGAAGTTTTAATCAAATAAAAAAATTAATGTTAATAGGATTAAATTAAAGAAAATTTTAAACAAATTATGCTTTAAGATATAATATAAAATTTAATATAATAACAATAGTAATATAAAATTTATTTATCATTATTATAGTAGGTCAGTAAATATAAAATGACATTAATTGTTATATATTGTCATTGTAAAACTATCAATACATCACAATTATTCGTTTATATTATTTTTAAGTGATTAAAATAACAGTCAAAATCTTTAAATAAATTAAAAATTATAATTAAATTTTTTTTACACTTTCCATATATAAATTAAATTTATATAAAATTTAATACCGTGTCTTTTTTAATATAAAAAAAGTACAATATTATTTCAACCTCAGATATTAATACTTTATTCCTCAATCGGTGTGAGTTTTAACCGAGTCTAGTAAGAGAAATAGTAAAAAAGTACTTATGGTGAACCATTTAATATAGTCCTATTATAAATTCTCCTTTAATGAAAAATTACTCAAAAGATGAAAATTTTAATTATATCTTTTATAACCTAGCCTTTTAGTTTTATCAATTGTATAGGTAGCCAAAAGGTTTATGCATTACTATACTTTTTCTCAAACGTTGCAACCCCTTTTCTTCCGGAGCTTGTTAATTCCAACTAAATCAGAGCTCATATATGAAACTATATATAAACGTTGATTTATATGGGGAGCTAAATCATCAAACACATACTCAAATCAATTTTAAGCCATCAAGCTTTGTATTTGCAAAATGGTTTCGAGTTCAAGGCCAACTAAGGTAATGAAATTGGAGGACCTAATCCAGTTAGTTCCAAATTGGCTTGAACTTCCAAAAGATGTAACATCAAAGATACTTCAATTGCTTGGTCCTGTAGAACTTGTGAGGAATGCACGTCGAGTGTGTCCTATGTGGAGGAACATTTGTAGGGAGCCTAGCATGTGGAGGAGCATTGAAATGATCAAAGGTCTCAATTCTCCATATAACTTAGACAAGATTTGTATGTATGCTGTTGATCAAGGTTGTGATCAGGTTGAAGAATTTAATGTTGAGTATTTTGCTACTGATGAACTCATCAAAAAAATAGCTGAAAGGTAATAATACTACTATCTTATTTTTGTTATGTTTTTTTTATTGTCTTATCTAAGATTTATTCTTATATCTAATCAACCAATTTTTAATTCAAATTTGACCTAAATTATACAGAACTGCTAATCTGCGCCGCATTAGGGTTTCAAAATGCTTCAGAGTTTCAGATAAAGTATTTAGTGACGCTGCCAAAAAGTTTTCTCTACTTGAGGAACTTGAACTTTCATTCAATGATTTAAGCAAAGAATCTCTAGAAGCTATTGGCCGAAATTGTCCACTTTTGAAAACACTGAAATTCAATCGAGCCTACAAAGGAGTTAAATGCACTTCGTACAAAGGCTTCAAATGCAACAAAGAAGCATTTGCTATTGCAAAAACAATGCCCGGATTAAAACATCTTGAACTTTGGGGAAACAAGCTCACAAATGATGGTTTGGTTGCTATTCTTGATGGTTGTCCTAACCTTGAATCTCTTGACCTTCGTATGTGTTACAATTTGGTTATGTCTGAAAATTTGGCGAAAAGATGTTATGAGAATATTAAATATTTTAGACATCCAGGCGAGTATATAGATGAACACGATGATGATAATGATGATCATATTTTTGAGTTCTATTGTGAATGTCGTGATAGAGATAGCAAGAAAATGAAAGGGACGAAGATATCATATATGGATTTTGATATGTTTCATTAATCAACCGTTGAAGGAATTTTGCTGGAGAAACTTAATAGTCTCTTTTATTTTATATTTTGGTTTGTTTGGAATGTAATGAAAATGAGTTTTGGCTAATTTTTGGAGAAAATTATGAGCTTTTTAGATTTTATTGTTAAAGTAATTTGATTTGAAGATTTGTTAAGTTTATGGATGTCTAATACACAATTTTTCTAGAGTCTATTAAACAAATATCGGCACCCCACCCTTCTAATTTTAAAATAAATACTAACTTTTTAAAACTACTCATCAAATTAATAAATATATTTTTTTTGATAGGCAAAGAAATCCACTAATAGACATATTGGGAGTACACCAATCTTTACAATGGTCGAACCATAACACCTAACACCAACAACAATTGAAATTCTCTAAAACGAATTCACTTAGAGTAGAAAATTTTAAAGGGACTTAAACCATTCATAAAAATTACATTTAATTTTAGATCGGTTACAAAAATCTAACCACCACTACAAAGTAATGATCACCCTATGTGTGATGTCCTCTTGACTTGCAATCATATCGTTAAAATCACTTGATTACGAACCCACCTTAACAAGCCGCAATCCATATATAACAAGCAGTGGCCTTGGACAAACTCCTCACCGTTTTTATAAACCAATGAAACAAATGATCACAGACATTATCTACTTCCTCCCATTCTATTCTCACCCAAAAGGCTAACTTTCTCCCAATAATATGAATAATAGGACACATATAGAAGAGGTGATTCTTATCCTCAGAGTAGCAAAAACACAAAACACACACTAAGTCATGAGAAGAAGAGATTATACCCCTAGTCACCAGATTAGTTCTAGTTGGAAGTCTATCCCACACCAATGTCCACCCAAAAGTTTTAACTTTGAGAGGGACCTTAGTTTGCCATATGACTTCTAACGCGGTCTTGTGTATAATCTCCAACCAATAGACCCAACATGAATCATCATAGTTTTATAACATGAAGCTACAGTGAAGTCATCAATTCCGCCACCAATCCAAACATACCTGTCCACAACTCCTTGAATCGGCCAAACATGGTGCAGCAACTCCTGCAACTTGCTCATCTCTTCAGCCAGAACACCCTGAAGCTCATGCGAAGGAAAACTTAGGTTCCAAATCCATACTCCATCAGCCCAGTCCTCTAATTTACTAATCACTGCCACCTTATCTGCAGCAGCCTGAAACAGGTTTGGAAACGTGATGTACAGAGGAGTAGAAAGAAGCCAATTGTTATGCGAAAATGATGTTGCATTTCTAACTCCCACCTTGCATGAAATTTGAGAAATGAAGCTCCCTTGATGTGTTGAACCCCTTATCTTCATCACATCAGCCCACCATAAAGAGATATTCTTTGATGCCATAATTTTCCGCTTAAGCATTATTCTATCCCTCAAATCCCCATATCTAGCTACAAGAATGTCAGTCCAAATAGAAGAATGATTGTTGATAAAGCACCAAATCCATTTGGATAGAAGTGACTCATTAAAAACCTTCAAATCCTTAACACCCAAACCTCCATGTTTCTTTGGTAAGCATACTTTCTCCCACGCAATCCAAGCAAGTTTCCCTGTAATTGCACAACCAACCATAAAAAATTATGTTGAATCGCAATAAGCTCCTTTAAGATCTTAGACGGTAGTTTGAAAAATGATAGATAATAGAATGGAAGATTGGTAAGAACGAAATTGATTAGTGTGAGTCTTCCACCAAAAGATATCATCTTTCCATGCTAAGAAGCTAACTTCGATCTTAAGCAATCTAACACAGGTTTCCAGAAATCAAGCCTACGATGCTTGCCTCCAACTTCAATCCCCACAAATTTGAAAAGGATGTGACCAATGTTGTAGGCAAGAAAATGAGTAGCACTTGTCATGAATGTCTCTTCTAGGCCAACCCCAAAAATGTTGCTCTTCCAAAAGTTAATACATAAACCAGATACTAATTTAAAAGCCCTCAGGATTGATTTAATCCCCCACAGATCACCCCGCGCTCCTTCACATACCAAGATAGTATCATTAGCATATTGTATCAAATTAAAAACACCTCCATCTACCAGCTTCTATCCCTTGAGAATGCTTGTGGAATTTTACCTTCTCATCAGCACTGCCAGCCCCTCCGTAATAATTGAAAAGAGGAAAGGTGACAAGGGGTCACCTTTTCTGAGGCCTCTAGAAGCCTTCAACTCAGTAGTTGTACCACCATTAATTAATACGTAGATATGAAAGTTTAGAGCGCCACTTTTGATCCACTGCATCCATTTTGGATAGAACTTCATGGCCTTCAATATTTCCTCAAGAAATTCCCAACTCACACAGTCATAAGCTTGTGCATAATAAAATTTAAACATTAAGCAGTGTCTTTTACTTCTCTTCACCAGGTCAAGAAGTTAGTAAGAAGAACTCCATCCAATATTTGACGGACAGGGATGAAAGTTGTTTGATTATTGGATACCAGTTTTCCATTATTCTACTAAGCCTTCTGGCCAACAGCTTCGAGAAGATCTTGTACACACAGCTAATTAAACTAATAGGCCGGAAGTCATGAAGATTCATAAGATGCTCCTTTTTTGGAATGAGGGCAATGAAAGACGAGGCAAAAGCCTTTGGCAAAGATGCAAAACTGTGAAAATGTCTGATAACATTAACTATGTTGCCTCCAACTGTACTCCAACAATGCTTCAAAAAGTTGAAATTGAATCCATCTAGGTTGAGGCTTTTGCTTCCATCACTAGATGAAATAACCTCCCAGATTTCTTCATCCGAAAAAGGTTCCACCAGCATCTTGTTATCATCAGCATATAGAGTTTGAATATCAGATAAATCTAGATGCACTCCAAGACTAACTTGTTTCTTGAATTTTTCTTCAAAGAACTCTTTGATGTATCCCTTCATAGTAGTAACATCCTCCAAAATATCATTGCCAGACTTCAAAGCTCCAATATAATTTCTTATAGTTCGCAATTTCAATAGTGAATGAAAATATTTAATATTAGCATCACCATCCTGAACCCAATTACTTCTTATTTTTTCTTGATCATAGCCTCTTTAAGATTTAAATTGCTCCGGATTTTTTCAATTGCTTCGCTCCTCATTTTAAGGTCACCCTCCCTTAGATACCCATCAATAAGCTCCAAGTTTGCCTCGATTTCGTTCAATTCCTCTACATTCAAGTCTATCCACCCAAATATGTTTTTACTCCATCATCTCAGCCATTCTCCCAATTTTTCCAATTTCTCTGCAAGGATAAACAATGGGCTGCCAACAATATGGAAATTATTCCAAGTAGAAGCAACAAACTCATCAAAAGTAGGATGATTGAACCAACATTTAAACACCTTAAAGGGTTTTGGACCCCAATTAACCTTGATATTCTGAATCCATATGGGCCTATGATCTGAGATATCCCTGTCGCCCACCCTTTGCACATTAACATTCCATTTGGATATAAGCCCTTCTGTCAACAAAAACCTATCAATCCTACTCCTACAACTTCCATTAGACTTAAACCAGGTGAATTTGTTCCATATGACAAGGATATCAACTAAGTTCATATCTTCAATGAATGCAGAGAATTCAAACATTTCAGATACATTATTTCTACCTTTTCTTTTCCTTTCCCCATTGGAATTAATCACATTGAAATCGCCAGCCACTAGTCACTCTCCTTTAGGTAAGCTACACTTGACCTTAATTAGATCCACTCACGTCAGCCTTTTCTCAACAATTTAACATGGAGCATATACATTAATGAAATAACACCTTAGACCCTTCCACTTGCCAGCAATACACATGTAGCCCTTACCTCTGAAGCTGAATTTTGACAAGAATGAATCCTTCCTCCATATTGATAGGATACCGCCTGATTTCCCTTCAGACGCAATCCCTGACCGATACTTACCATGGCATAAATATTTTAAACCCATTAGTCTTGTATAATTTGAATCTTAGTTTCTTGTAGAAAACACACATCCGCCTTGACATCAGATAAAATTTTTCGTATCCTTTGTTTCTTAATTGCGGATCCACACCCCCTCATGTTGAAGGATACACAATTCATGGAACCCTCAATTCTGCCCCCAACCTTTCCTCAAATATTTTCCTATCTCTACCCTCCATATCACGAATAACTCTTTCAAAAGCCTTGTCATCTTCTTCCCTTTCAACCTATATTGCTTTGATAGATTCCCATATTTTCTTTGGTACTTCATTCATCAAATTTTTTTTCTACTGTTGCCCTGATTAAAATCTGAGTCAGTGATAGAATCACAACATAGGATTGATGCTCCCGAATAGTTTGATGAATTTGTATATATTCCAAAACACCAGTTTGAGGTATCCCACCAACATGCTCCGGTGTATCTTGATTTGGATTAAAGTTTGAAGAATGAAGAACCAAAGGTTGAGTAATATGAGGGGGAGAAAAGAACTTTAATGCTCTGATAAATGAAATTTAGTAATTTCGTTTTCTTTGGCTTAAGATCCAAAGGAAGCCCAATAGGCCCAACTACGGTACATTGGATTGAGTCAGAAGAATCTCCTATTGGGCCCTTTTCCAAACTAAACCTCTGGGCCACCCTCTGTTCCACACATGATGATGCCCTTGTCACCTCTATTTTGTTGTCAACCTCAACAATTCCAGTTGTACCTTGACATTCCTACAAACCAACACTTCGCTTTTGGATTTGTATCGATCAATAGCTCCAAGCGTAAGCTTTTCACATTCTCCATTATTATTCCTCATACAACCTGCCATAGTCTCATGATAACCCTCGTTTTCGAAGCACTGTTCCGCCGAATTAATGTACTACATGCCCATGGTCTTCTCCCCATCATCATTACATCTCTCAGGTACTTCTTGTGTACCATTTTCACTTTCATCCGAGGTATTCTCCATAGAAGGAGACTCCCACTGTCATACTCCAAATTTGTTTTACCTGTGCATAATTTTCATCTGTACATCCATCCAATAATCTTTATTAAAAAAAAATTTTTTTTTATTGATTTCATTCATTTTTATTCAAGTGGTTACAAGGAGGAGTTAGGTTTCAGGTTGTGGTGTATGCAATATTGATTGAAGTTCATATGGTTATGACCTATTCTTGGTCACGCAAGTTTTGTTCAAATGGTGTGGTTTGAGCTGTAAATTAGGGTTAAGGTCGATTTAATTCAGTTTGTGTGTGGATCAAGTTATTAGATTGTGAAAAGTTATCAACGTTTCGTGGTTCATTATCATTAAGAATCAGGTCATTTTCAATTAGGGCTTTGGGACCAAGCGATTCATATCAGGTTATGTTCTATTGATTTCAAGTGATTTAATAGTTTCAAGATTCCAATGCATCTAGAGATCCATACTACTTTATGATTTATTTTCTCAGGATTTATTTAAGGGTTGTCGAGATTCGATCCTTACTACTTTTGAGGATTCAGTTCAAGTGTGGTGCTGGATTAACATTCATGCTCAAGTCCCAGATATTCAATTCAATATCCATTTCATTATCTTTTTTCCTAATTCGCATCCAATTTTAAACCATTTAAGGTCCAATTACCTATTTTTTATTTTCAATTTTCAATTTTCAAATTTCCATGTCCATATTTCACAACAAAAAGTTTTTATCAAGTCAATAAATAATTCATAAAAATCTATGAATAGTCCAAGCCCATTGCTATTTTTTTTATACAAGAGTCTTACAACAAAATTATTAAAAAAGGAAGAGTCTTACAACAAAATTATTAAAAAAGGAAGAGTCTTGAAAACCATAACCCAGTCCATTACAAAGCCCGTGACACTTTTTTTTGATATTGCATTTTCTTGTACAAAGCCTAATTACAAAGAGTGGCAAGTAAAAATAGAAGAACCACATGGTACCAATGACAACCTCACGAGTACCTTGCGACTTCAGCATGACCATTATGTCCAAGCCTTGTAACATTTCAAGCCATGCTCCATGAAACTTCAAGCCAACAACCGGTTCTCCACGTAACCTGTACCTGTGTAAAAATTATGACAAAGTAAACCATGAGCAGTGTAACCATTATGCAACAAAAGTGACGCATCACACAGGCCAGCACAACCTTTCCACAAATATACCGCACAATAAACTTACCACAACTCACACAAACACGACGCAACACATTTGCGCGCTAACAAAAATTCTCTAAAACGTCATGACCATGCAAATTCATGGAATGCGCAACAAAACGTAAAAATGACACGACCCAAAACGCTGCAACAACTCTTCCACTTCTACACTCAAATCCACTCTATAAAAGGCTAACCAATCTCATTCACAAAAAAAAGCTTGGAGAGCCAAATCTATTATGACAAAATCACAACCTCACCATAACCACAAATCCTGCTTCAAACTTACCTTTTTCACCCCAAATCACTCAACTCATCTTCAACCTTTATCCACCCACCCAAATTGTATTCCAAAACTGAACCAGAAAGAAACAGAGAGAGAAGAAGAAAAACGAATCAAAATAGAGGAACAAATTAGACATAAACAGAATCAAACCTGAGTAAATTGTGCAGAACTACGACGAGTGTCGCGCGAGCGAGCAAGGCAAAAAAAAAAAGAATAAAATCGAGCGCGAGAGGAGGTGAACGACTAATCTGTTTCCATGATCTTGTTTTTGCTTTGAAATGTTGGTTTCTTTAATTTACTTTCATCATACAGTAACACGAATTGTTTGGAGTTACTGTGGATGTTGTATTTGTTTCATTGCCTATGGTTCTTATGAGCATGAATTGGGTCGTGTGGCCTATAGGGTTTTGGTATACCGTCTGTTCTCTCTTTTTTTTGTGATGAATGGGCTTGGGCCCATTGTTTCTTGTCACCACACCGCCCTTTTTACTTTTGCCATCTGAGCTGTGCTATTTTTGGGTGGATGATGGGCCTAAAAGCCCACATGATTCCACAAGTTCACCCTCCTTTCCATTATGCACCCGCAAACTTTAATCATTTTTTGTTTATTTAATTTTTGTTATTTAGTTTAATAATATTTGTTAATATTTTGATAACCTAATGTTAATTTTCTTTGATAATTAATTTTGTTAACCATCTCCATTAGTTATTTTGTTAAATACTTTATTAGATATCTTGTTAGATATTTTGTTTATTTACTGACTTATTCTTTCATTTTCACCTTGATCCTCATCTTCGATTTTCTTTTTTATTATTGGTCGATGAAGTCTTTTTATTTACGAATGTTGATTATCGAGGTTGTTAACCTTCATTATTCTAAATCTGTAGTGAATGATCATTTAGATCATTTTCTATACTTTTGGATCGTGATAGGTTACCTTCGATTAATTGACGCAAATTTGTGATTAAGACGAGACTGTCACCTTTTCTTTTCGTGTGACACGATTTCTTTGGAGAATGATCCTCAATATCATTTCTCCATTGTGTTTTAGCACAAATATCAACTTGTGTGACCTCCTATAGTATGATCTTCGTCCTAGATCATGCTACGACGGTTTAGCACTAAAGTCGACCCGATTTACCCGATTAATCACTAGCCACTAACTTTAATTTTGGTTAATATACTCTTGTATTCTTTTTGTCAATATATTCATATACTTTTGATAATATTATCTTGATTATATTATTATCGATAGTATTCTTGATCATATTATTCATCTTATTCGCATCTTATTGATTTTATTCACATCTTGTTCATACTTTGTTCATATTAATCAAAAATGCACTAATAACGATCGAAAACCTAAAAGCCTAAATTTGTGGACTGTGGTTACTTTTTCGAGCAACAGATTATGTACTTTGTACAGAAACCCTAACAAGGAGATTTTGTCCGGCTCTTGCTAAAGGCTTAATTTAGGACACCTCGCACACACACGGCTTCCTTTTGGGCTATCTTACAATGACCCATTTTATTTCATATAATCCCATGTAACTTACATATACCCCACTCCCATTCTGATGTATGCATTCGTTTTTCTTTGATTGTGGTTTTTTTGCTATGAGCACCCCTAGGGACTAGCATAAAATAAACCATTTTCAAACAAATTCTCGATTTGTCGTCGAGCCATTTTCAAAATCACCTTCGTAAGTCGATTTCTCTTTAGCATTTGCCATCAACCTAATGCACACACTTGCACATTTCGTCGTGGTTTCGTTTTTAAGAGCACCCCTAGGGACTAGTATCGATTCTCACCTTGTTTGCAAAACCTTGATTCAACGTCAAGTGACATTTCATTCAAACTTGTAAGTCGAGCACCTTTTGCCTCGCCATCAATCTCTTTTCATCCAATCCGATTCAATCTTTTTCAAATCGCTTTCTTAATTAACTTACAAAAGAAGAAGATTCTTGGAGTCTAGCATTTCTTAGATCTTTGAATGATTGGCTCTTGAGGTGCACGCCTTGTGTTGTTGTTCATTCAACCTTTCGTCTTAATGACGTGTGCATCATGCATTCATGTGCATCCGGACTTCGGTTCAGGACCTTGATTTATTTGGCTTCAGTCCCATTGTGCGGATGTGAGGTATTTTGACATGCTCCGGTTCTTGTATAGAATCGATCCTATTGA